CCTATCTTTTATAATTTTTAATATTTGCTATATTTATATTAAAATTCGATTAAATATAAATTTGTATAGAAAATTTTTGTATTAGGAATAAAATACTTTCTAACAAAAATGATGTCGTATTCAGAAGGACTCGACCCCAAAATCTCTAACTCATTACTCCCTCCGTCCTATTTTATATGTCACATTTTTACCTTGCACTTGCATTAAGAAATGATGTAACTTTACCTTTTTATTCTTATTTAATGTTTTCTTAAGTTAACTTTATTAATAAATGACAAGATTAATTAACTATTCTATCAAGGATATAATAGACAAAATATGATAATTCATGCATAAATTTTATAAAATGACAAGTATTGTGGTCCAACTATTTATAGAAAGGGATGTCATATAAAATGGGACGGAGGGAGTATTTATTTGGTATTTTAAATAGTTAACTCACTTTCCTAATCTTCCACAGATTTGTATTCAGGTACACCCTTAATTTAATAATTCTCTTTAAATCCCCTTTCTTTGCACATGCACTTTGGCCCCTTTGCTTTCTAAACAAGGACACTAATTCAAATTGGTTACAATAATTATCTTTTTTTTGACCGACTTTGATAATCTCTAGAAAAAGTAATTGCTAAATGATTTTGCCAGAGGTAGTAAATCGACGGAATTTCGTCAGGTCAAGATAGATCGAGTTAAAAATATTCTATTTGGATTGAAATAGATTAAAATGTAAATCAAATTTTTTTTACTATATTCGTTTAATTTTTACTAAATTTAAATTATTTTATTTTATTTATTTTTATAATTTTTTATACATCAATAATTTGTTTTATATTTATAGTTACACGTAATATATGATATTTTATTTTTGAAAATATTATAATTTATACACGTTTAGGGCCGGCTAAACAAGGGGAGAAAGAAAATAAATTTTGTCATTTTTCCCACATTGATTTAGTCAGCATGAAACAATTCTACTTCATTTAATAAACTGCCTAATAATACAGACTTGTAAATACGGCACACTTAAAAAAATAAATGTGAGCAGACAGTTGGTGGTTTTTTGAAGAATTTGCTGTCCCGATTTAATACGACTATGTTTTTCTTTCATTTTGTATTCTTCCACTTTTTTTTTTCCTATTTTCTTCAAGAAAATAAAACTTCCCTCATTCTGCTGGACTCGTTTTTCTTCATAAATAAATAAAATGGGAAAAATTAATCTTTTAGTTTCTTAATTATTGATGAGTTTTATTTATTTTGAGAGTTGATTTTGAAATTCAAATATTGATTTTACAATAAAATTTGATCTTCAAATATATTTAAAAAATGGCTCAAACCAGTTTTTGGACATCCATCTAGTAAATTTCAAAAAAAAATCAAGTAAAATGTATATCCACAATTAAAAAAATTTAAAATTTTATGTTTCAACTTTATACATATATTTTCCATATAAAAGGATTTTAAAATGCATATTTAAATTAATTATTATAAGAACCAAAATTAAAAATTAGTACTAATAATTGTGGGACCAAAAACACTTATATATACTCTTTAATAAATAAAAAGAAGGGCGAAATGCTAAAAGAAAACAATTCTATTTGACTTTTTAGTTTATCTAAATGAAATTCTATAAAAAAAAAAAATGTAATTGATTCGTTTGTCTTACTTTTTTATAAAAAAAATGTTAGAAAATATATCTGCTACCTCCTCACTCATGGCAATATACCTATTTAACTCAATAAATTCTCAATTTCCAGTGTAATACCCATGACAAATCAAATAAAATACTTAAAAATTTAGAGTTGAGACAATGGAATTTTAGCAAAAAATTGAGTGGTTCAATTCTATTCAATCCTTTGATGGATATGATATGATATATATATACTACTATATAGTGTTATGAAAACCATGGGTATATAGAAATAAAAAAAAAAGTGTTTAATTGAGGGGATAAGAGCAATATCACTATCAAGCCACCAATGCCGACGAATAAGAGACAAGATGCAACTTGAATTGGAGTTTCTATACAAAAAAAACAAACACGTATTCTATATATACTTGTGACTTGTGACCCTCCCTTTATTATCTTTATACTTAAAGGCCAACGAGCAAAACAAGAAATATATAATTCAATTTTATTGCTTTTTAGGCAACGCCTCTTCAACTTCAATACTCATTCTTTTGTCTCTTCAATCAGATAATATATCGTATTGTATTATGTTATGTTATTTTTATGAATACATTTTTTAGATATATAATATTATTTTTTATTGTCACATAATGTTGCATAGCAAGATTTAAAGAATAGATTTATAAGAAAAGTTGAGTATTGAGGAGATGATAAGTAGAGATAAAATAAAAAGGAAAAAACTAAGGGAATAAGGCGATCGCATCAAATTGTTCGTTACATAAAATGAAACTTTTCAATGTTATAAAATAATGATTTTAACAATATTTAAAATTTAAGTAATAATTAAAATAAATAGTACTCCCTCCGTTTCTATTTAATTTTCACAATTTTAGATTTTGCGCTCCTTAAGAAACTACTCTTATTTAGTGTTGTTTTGAAGTTAAGTTTTCAATAAATGAACATGAATTAATTTATATATTAATTTAAAAATAATGTTATTTATATATTAATTTTATAAAATATCAAATATTAAAAAATATCTATATTTTATAATTAGAATGACATAAACTAGCAACGGAGCATACAATAACAACCATCTTAGCAAGCTGTGGGTAGTTGGCTAGACTTTTAGAATTTGGACGCCGTAAATTACTGAGGATATAAGTTTTAAAAAGTGAATTTTTGAATATATTAATTCTAATTATTTAGAGTACATTTTTGGGGTTACTACAAAAAACTAATCTCCCCAGAAATCGGAGAAAAAATTTAGTATGTAGAGGCACAACAAATAAAAGTTTTGTGAGGCTTTACTAATTTCTTGACACTTGGATATAGTGGATTCATTCTTTGACTTTAAATCTCTAAATATTATGAAGAAAGAGAAAATATGATTTAAAACTGACATGATCCAATAAAATTATACTAAATAATATAAATAAAGTGAATTATGGGATCCACTATTCTTTAAGCTCATCATATCCAAAAATAAAAATAAAAATCCGGACATCATTCTTCTTCAACTAACTTCGAACATTTTTATTCCTTTTTATCTTCTAAATTGAAAATTTTATCAAAATTATACCTCTCATATTAGGAATTGGCAAAAAGAAAATTTGTTGAAATATTTTTGTCAGAAAATTCTAATCGTTGCGTACAAATATAATTGAATTTATATATATTCAAAATGATTTTGTAAAAAATATTCGAAATGATGTTCATGTTTGAATGTACTTTAATACAATTTCAAAAGTGAAAATTGAGTTAAAAATAAATTATTTTTAAAAAGTAAATAATTTTATGTTTAAATGGATCCTAAAAGTAGAAGTTAAAAAGAAATGAATTAGGGAGATGAAAATTTTAAAATACGATAAATGAAAAATAGTTTAATCCTATGATACGAATACGAATTATATTCGTATTTAAATTTGACTATTATCTTAGGTAATTATTTAATCATAATTTTTTTTTTATTTATATTATAAAATTGAAGGAGTAATTGAATTGGTTTTCAAATAAAAAAAATTTCAAAAAAAAAACCATGAAAGAGAAACAAAAGGCAAAGAAATGAAAAAAAAAATAGATCCCATAAATCAGAATATAATTGCAATAAAAGTATCCTCACACAACTAATACAAGTTATACCTCTCCCATAGTAAATTTTTTCGTAAACACATCATACTTTTGCTATAGTACTAATGTCAGTGGCAAGTGGTAACCCCAATATCTTTCAAATTTCAAACTACACCCTCATTCTTTATCTATTTCATATAATATATTGATTCACTCAAATATCTGTCGATGAAAATTATAATAATGTTACATATAAATCTAAAATAATATTTTAAAGACATATATTAAAATTTTAAATACCTTTAATAAAAAAATTAACTTCACCGCTAATCACCTCCTTAATTTATATTATAAATTCTAATAAGTTCAAATATTCCATATTTTCTTCACATAATTCAGGCACAGGACAGGGACCCCAAAAAAAAAAAGACTCAGTTTTTTTTGTTGCTTCGTTTTCTTGTATCTTATTTTTTCAGTTTTTTCTTTCCTCAAATTGCATTAGGGGAGTACCTAACTTGTTGCTTTATCTCTGCCTATTCTTCTTCTCGTAGAAATGTCACGGTAAGGTAACAATTAAAGAATCACAGAATTTTTATTTTTTTTTAAAAATAAATAAGAGAGAAAGTATTTAGAAAAAGATTGTGAACTTGACGTAATTTCTCTCTTGAATTATTAACAGCCTTGAAAATACTTTTTTACTTAACAAATTGAATTTAGATATAGTCCCGATACACCCACGATTAGCCTCACGACATAACAAGTGGTTTCAAATTCCTGTAGGAGCACAAAACTATTAATAGAAAGTCGAGAAAAGTGTTGAAAACACCCATAAATTCGGTAAGAACGAAATGTATTTAAAGTTAGTTAATCAAATTAAGGGAATATATTTAAGACTGTCAATAATTTAGGGATCAAACTAATAATTCATGCCTAATTCAGATATTTTCAGTACTTCTCTAAAAAATAATAATTTAGTTTTATCCTAATAAAAAATTTTATAATCACATTAATTTTTTTTGTTCTTTTTCAAAGGAGAGGAATATTTTCTAAAAAAATAATTAATCTAAAAAGTCAAAGTAATCTCTTAAATTTGCAAATTGCTAACACAAAGTACCACCTATGATACAGAAAGTACCAACAATTTGGTGTATTTGTGTAGACACCATCTTTATTTTTCTTTTTCTTTTTTGCAACAAGAAAAGAAAAGTTTGGGCATGAATGTATTTCACAGAAATTAAATGGTTTGAGAGACTTTGAAAGGAGAGAAAGGGAGAGGGAGGCGCAGTTAAAAGGTAAAGAGGAAGGAGAGTATAACAAATACAAAAACCAAGAACCACAAGAAAGAAAAAAAGGGAAAAATTTCATTTCTCTTTATCTATATCTACTAATTTTTCCCTATAAATTAAAAATATATATATACCTCCCCTTTCTTCTTTAGTTGAATTTAGAGATGATTACTGCTTCATCCCTTTTGTTTTCATGGGTAGATAATCTTCTCCTCTCTTTTTTCTTTTTTATATTATGAATCCTGTGTAGTTTTCTGATGATGATTGATGAAGATTTTCGTTTTTCTGTTTTGATGGTGTTTGGAAGTTTCTGGGTTTTGGTTATTAATGGAGGACTTGATTAACTAAAGATGATCGTGTTTGTTAACAGGGAATTTGAATGTTGAAGATAGTTTTTTAAGTTTTTAATGGGTTTTTAGAAGGGAAAAAAAGGGGGAGAGTTGTAATTGATCGCTAATTTTTAGCTCATTTGATTTGTAAGTTGATTATTGATCTTGCTGAAACAGATTATAAGATCAGTGTTTGTTTTAGATCGGATTAATTGAAACATTTTCATTGATAAATCTTTTTGGGGGTTTTACCTTGTTGTTTTTTTTAGATAAATCTTGTTGAGTGATCATAGCAATGTAAATGAAATGGATGATACATTTTCGATGTTTTTGTTATTCAGATGATTACTATGACTTGGAGATAGGACTGATGTTTTGACGTTTTGTTTTCAGGATTTGGTTTAATCTTGTGCAACGAATAATGGGTTGCCGGTCTGATGTTTTACGGTGGTGTGAAGCGAATGCGTATTGTGTTACCTTACTGGTTGGGTTGAATGTAGATGATGCTGAATTGTTTGATGAAACATTTCTGGGAATTCCATTGATAGATAGGTAGTGGTTGTTTAGTGTGATGATAGATAATGTTGTAGATTCAATCTAGTTCTACTGCAATTAGGTTTGTTCCGGTGGTAGGAGAATGAACTGCTGGGGATTTCATGGGGCGGAGTAATTAGATATTGAATTGGTGCAAGACAGGAGATAGAATTTAGGTAGTGTAGTAGATTAGATATTGACAAGAAGATTGTGGAGGTAACAAATTTACGTTAGACATGGGGTTGCCTCAAGTGCCCTCCAGCAATATTGCTGAGGAAGTGGCCACATCATTGAGCACATTTGTTCAAACTCCTGCTAGATTTGCTGGCATGAGTAGTTGTGATATGAGTGGAATGCACATAAGTTGCCTTAGCAATCGGACATCAGCGGATTTTTCATTCGTCTCGTCTAGGGATGTTTCCAGGGATGCTGATATTCTTAGTCTACATAAAGATGGTATGACAAGCATGCATAAATTGAGGATTGATTCTGCAGAAAATCATGGCTTCTTCACTCATAATGGTGGAAGGACTACCCAGAGTCCTGCATCAAGGATTGTTGGGTTCGAATCAAAAAGTGCAATAAAAAGCCATGCTAGTTTGTTTGAAGCAAATCCATTGGATAGCGTCGATTCATCTACTGTGGTTCGGGACATTGACAGAATGAGTGAGACTACAAGTTCATTAGTTAGGAAACGCTTGTTGTCTCCTTTGAATGGTATGGTTCTTCCAGATAAATTTGCTGGTGAATCTCTGGATATTGGTGGTAGTACTGTTCGGAGTAATTCCAACTTCACTCGTGATAAATATGGTGCTTCCTCACAAGAACATAAAAAGGCTCATATAGGCAACACAGACAACTTTAGTAATGAAAATTGGTTCATGCCATCTTTCCCTAGGGGGAATTGTTTGCCAACTGAAAACTGTGTAGAAGTCTCCTCTTTTGTCATAGATGGTCCTTTGTTCAATGACGGGGGACCTGAATCTGAGATCCCTTTTACTCCTCCATCCCCTGGGTTAAACTTTTATGCACATATGATAAAAACACAGTTGAAAGATGGGATAATGGACATGCCCGGAGAATATACATTCTCGCCACCTCCGTCTCTTTCTCCTCTTGGACCAAAATCTCATATAAGGTTGGGACGCGCAGAAAGGTTTAGGCATTCCTGGGAGGATCACGATGATAACTACTTAACTTTGAAGGATGTGGAACAGTCACTTGATCGAAGGCTTTCAGGCATTTTATCTCCCCGGAAGGAAGAGGATCGCAAAACAGGAAGTGATCTTTTTCAAGATATTGAAGTTTTTGAGATGAACTTTGAACGTTCCACACCTGAAAGTATAAGTGTCACGAGGCGGTCCAAGACACAAAATTCAGTTCCTACAAATCAATGTGCAAGATTTGGTAGAAGTCTTAGTGGACTGTCTGTCAAAAGGTCCTTAGTCGGTTCATTCGAGGAGTCACTATTATCTGGTCGTTTGACATCCAGTGTAGTCAGCCAGGTTGGTCTTAGTGCCTCAATTATCTTGAAGATGCTGTTTATGTTCTTTCAGATGTCATCCAAATTATCCTTGGTCTTCGTTTTGAGCATTAGTTTTCCTTGATCTCTTTGTTTAAGTATTTGTGCCATGATCTTGGAAATGGTTTGACATATTGCTCTTGTTGACAAATTATAATATGCTTATGCAGAGAATTGATGGTTTTCTTGCCGTCCTTAGTATCACTGGTGGAAATTTCTCGCCACATCCTCAGAAACTTCCATTTGCTGTAACTAGCGTAGATGGTGATAACTTCTTGCTTTATTACTCATCAATAGATCTTGGAAGACCAGGTAGTGATGGTAAAGGCTCACAAATCAAGAACTCTAGCACTAATAATTTACAAACAAACAAGGGCCGCCTACGTATACCGATGAAAGGGCGCATACAACTGGTATTCTGCTCCTATCCTCTCAGCTTGCTTGTGCATCTGTGAACATGCTTATGTTGAAAATCCCTTATTCTTAAGGAGTCTAATTTTCATATAAAAGAGATAGCCCTGAAACATATCTTTGCTCTGAGGCAATAGGAACCCATCCTTGTAATTCGAAGGATTCTATCAATTCTGTTTGCTAATTTGATATTTGAAAAAAAAATTGTTTGATAAACTGGTTTCATTATGAGGAAGATGAATAGGTTTTGGACATATAAATGGGGAGATAAAATGTGATGGCACCACTTTCTCCATAGAAGGGAAATTAAATCATTTTGAGGAGAACTCTTATTTTGGTTGTTCATATATCCTAAGCTAAGTAATTTTTCATGATCATCAAAAGTTTGTTGTAACCAAGTTTTTGGTTAAGAAATAACAACATCACTACATGTCCTGAAAATTGTATTCCAAATACTTAATAATTACTCCCTAAGACCATTTTATATAAGGGTAGTTGACTGGAAACTGAATTTGAGATGTTAAATGACTTGTATATTATATTACACATTAAAAGAAAATATTAAGCCAATATTTGAAAACTTAGTTTGATAGAAGAAGCATCACATGTTCAACTTTATTTGTTAATAATGGTGATGTCTATGCTTGCTTGCGGGGGATTCAACTATTCCATAGGGTGCTTGTTGCCTCTTACTAGCACAGTTTTCAGGTAACTCTACCAACTCACCAATGCTTAGGCAGATAGCGAATGCCTTTTGGTCTTTTCAGGATTTGAACCCTAGTCTCCAAAGTTTGCACCCGCTTCATTGACCACTTGAGCACACCTTTGGGTGCTTTTGAACTTTCTCTTTATAATGTGCTCTTCATATGCTTGGTACTGGTGACATGGGAAACATTGTAGGTAAAACAAGTCAAGCTTGTGCATGATCACAGTGTTACATCATTAGTGCTTTTATAATAGAAACTTCATATTTTTCCCTAGAGCTTTGGTCTAGTGGTACGAGCTCAGCGTGCAGGCGTGTCTTAGGCGCACTTCATGGGTTTTTGAACCCTGTTGCAGACAAAAGTCTGGTATTTTAAGTGAAGAAGAGAGGAGGTCAGGCCCATTATCTGCGGAGGTTTGAACTGTGAGCGACAGGCCCGCGAGAATTTCCCGGTTATAAAAAAAAATAGAAAAAGGGAAATCCAGTACACTAAGCTCCTGCTATACGAGGGGTCTGGGAAAGGGCCGTACACAATTGTCTACTACAAAAGAATAGGAACTTCATACTTTGTTCTCCTACAGCAAATCTCCTTTTATCTCCAGGATGTGCTAATTCTCACTATTTCCTCTATATTGATGTTGGTGACACAAATTGTCAACCTCATGATATCAGCGCATGAAGCCTTCTGCAGCAAAACATGCTTGAGCGATTTCTCCTAAACATCATTGTATAGGGACAAAACAAACTTTAGGGTTGATTGATTGATACCATACTGTAAAATGAAGAAACTTAGAAATTGGATGATTTCTGAATCTATCATTGGTCCAATCTTCTCAGCCTGTAATTCTCGTGGGGAGCAGTGATTGATTTAATATAGGTCTTTCCGTTACGTTTATCACCTTGGTCTTAAGTACTCTCATCTTTCTGGTTTTTCCTTGGCTTAAAGCAGGGAGTTGTATGACTATGATTAGTCAACCACCATTTTGTTTTACTTTTCCCAGAGATCCTAAAACAGTAAGGATAACTTATTTGTTTCAGAGAATACCAAATAGCTTGGAGATTGATCATGAAATAGAAAGTTTGAGTCCCTCATCCAGTAGTTCTCTTTGGTCATTTTACGGAGAAAATGAATATGAACGCAGCTCTAGAATTAACTATAGGCTATAACTCTGAGATGTGATACTCAAATGTAGAAATTTTCCTTTTGCGAGCAAGCAGGTCTGAACACCACCGTTATATGAAAATAATATATGTAGAAATCTTCCTTCTTTCTGAATGCTACAGCTCTTTGTGACTCCTAGTTGTACGAGATATACATTTTTTGGTAATTTGCTGATGATTTTAACATAAATGTGCCTTTGTCTTTCCTTTATGTAAGTACAAACTTTTGATTGCTATTGGCGCAGGTTCTAAGCAATCCAGAGAGGACACCTATCCACACATTCTTATGTAGCTATGATTTGAGTGACATGCCAGCTGGTACTAAGGTAGGTTCAAGCTGTATTACCACTTTGAGGTGGGGAAACTATGCAACTTTGGTATAATTGTGAGAGCTTCTATTTTTTATCATAATGATGTACGAGCTTTTCTTTATCGGAGAATATCTAGACGATCATCACTTTATTCATCGAATTTTGATATTGGAATAAGGTTCAAGCAGCAGTAAATACTTGAAGCATCTGTGTATGGTAAGATAAGTAATCAGTTCACGAGCTTTAATAGAGCAGAACCAGTGGGCATTGTACTGATTTTGTGCATGTTTGATGATGAATAAATGGGGAACTATGCGAGCAGTACTATTGGGCATTGCACTGATTTTGTGCATGTTTGATTATGGACAAAATGGGAAACTGATGGGTCTTTATAGTAGATAGGAGATAGTTGTGTCAGACTCTTCTTTCATACCTTTCATCTATGGGACTGACAGATAATCTATATTCTGATATTTGCCTGATTCCATGATAGCTTTAATGATGAGTGTCAATAAAAAAGTACTGCATCTCATGTTATATGCAGTGAAGAAGTACTATAGCTTTAGCATCCAAAGGGGTAATTATTATGCAGTTATGCAGTAGCCTTGAATATCTTTGTTTTAATCACTATTTGAGCCCAATTACATGAAACATTGTTCTTCAAGCAAACTAGTGCAAGATGGCTTCACTAGCCATGCAGTTGTTTGTCTGCAGTTGAATTGTAGCCTGTTGACTCCTTTGCTGGTCTTAATGATTAGGTTGGCTGAACAATCTTTGCAAGCAGTCCTGGTTTCGGTTCACTGGACTTGAATAGTTATTTTTTGAGATTGGTATTTGATGATCTGTGCATATACATGTGTAACGGGAAAATAGGTGCAACTATGTGCAGCTAAAATGCTTTCATCTATGATCTTAGTGATTACTTCGATTTTTATAGGATATACATGGGAGATTATTAAAGTCATACTAGCATTTATGTGAATCCACATTTGACAATGGTGATCTCACACTAGTTATGTGATTGCAGACATTTTTACGTCAAAAGATAAATTTGTTTATGGATAAAGCTGGAAACAAGAGTTTAGACAGAAAGATGGATAGTGAACCACCGTCAGTTATTAGTGTTGAGGAATCTATGCTGCATGAAAGCCATTCTACCAAATCTTATGGTACTGGCAAGGCAGGCCATTGTGGAACCAAACCTGCAAATAGCACTTCAAAGGTGAATGAGAGTACTGCTAATTCTAGTGTTCTTCGTTACGCTCTACATCTCTGGTTCTTGTGTCCCTACCCGAAGAAGAGCACAAAATCAGGTATTCAGTGCAAAGATGATCAGGAGAGACGATTCTACTTGTATAATGATATGAGAGTAGTTTTCCCTCAACGACATTCAGATGCTGATGAAGGCAAGGTATGTCTAATATGGTATATATGACTTACGCTGCGTTATGTATCCTACTGCTAACTAAAGCATCTGTACGTCTTTTAAAAAGATTCAGTGATGTTGGACTAATTGGTCTTTGAGGTACACTCTGTTCACCCCGTTGCCTCAGTAAATTGAATTGATGTTATTGAAATTTGTTAAAATGAAGAGAACTATGTCGTGATTAGTAATTTAGACTTGTCCAACCATCCAAGCTTTGCCTTCTTTCTCCGAAATGGAAGAAACCTGTGTTTTCTCCACTGGGATTAAGGGGAGCTAATCTTATGTCTTTCTGGAGTGATATGCTAAAGTTCATTAAAATGAACTTGTAGCATTTGCTCGACTTCAATCATAATAGTATGAGATTTCCCATAACTTAACATTCGTGTTCATCATTCTTAAGTGCATGCATATTCATCAATATCTACTTCTCCGTGCTGTTTGCCAACTTTGAAGGAGATGCTTAGGTTATTGTCTTCCTTTTTTCGGTGGAAGAGTATATTGTCCTCTGGATGCAGAAGTACATATTGTTTGGCACTGTAGATGGGTTCCTTCTTCATTTGTGATATTATCGATGCTCAATTAGTTCAATGATACTAATTGGAATCCATATTTTTGAAACTGCAGTTACATGTAGAACATCATTTCCCCAGAGATCCCAAGTATTTTGACATCAGCGACTGAGATGGTGAACTTTATTCGATGTCTCACCGTCTTATTTCCGTTGTGCATAATGTAAATGTTATTCCTACTTCACCTGTAAATTCTTTCCAATAAATAGTTTTATCATTGACCTGTACAGAATTGTACATAAGCATTTTCTACCATCAATGGAAAAATAAAATAACAGGGAAAGAAAGAAATGTTTTTTTCTTTCTTTTCACTATTCTGAAATGTGACTCAGTTGTACTAACTACTAGAAACCATTTGTTCATACCCTAGTTCCTTTGACTTTGGCTCCACAATTTTCTGCATAAATGCATGAAAAGTCTCTCTCTAATAACCCCATGTGAAATTCGAATCAAAGCTAATATGGCACGTTTCGAACTTGGACCATTTCACCTGATTAGTCAAAAAAATTTCTTATGTATTTAACTTGTGAGGCATTGAGGATACAGAAGAGACATTTAGCTTAAAATGTCATTTACTTATTTTCACTAGAAAAATTAAAAAATATATAGAGATCTGTTATTCTCCTAGGATGGCCAATTAAACATATGAAAACCGAAGTGAAATATTTTCCTTTCGTATCAAACACATGCTAATAAGTTATAATCAAGTCACACAATTATGTTATGATATATTTAAAATCATAAATTTAAAGAATCATCCTTTTTTTTTAAAGAAAAAAAAAAACTTTACATTGTTCCCGATACGTTCGCTGTTCGCATAACTTAAAAAGGAAATTAAATCAGCAATATGATACAGAGAATACCTTTCTAATCCTCTCACATATGCTCCCAACACCATTACACCGCCAAGTGTGTAAGGAGAAAAAAATAATATTTTTTTCTACTTGATCGACTAAAAAGTTTTGGAAAATATTTACACTAAAAAAAAAAAAAATCGTTGAAATGAGGAAGTTGATTTTTCTAGTAAAAGAAGGAAAATAAATATATCAATGACATTCTATAGTGATTGTGTCATCTAATTCTTCTCCCTTGTCCGGCACACTTCACCCCCACCTGTAACCCCATCCCCACCGGCCACAACCCCACAATCCTATCCGTCCGCCTCCATCTGTTATAATATTTGTCTAGATTATATACAAATGCTTTTAGAATATATATATTTTTTTTTCACTTATATACTTAACACAAGAAAATAAGTAAGAAATTTAATTAAAAAATATTTTCTTAATAAAAATATCCCTTCTTACCGAACACACGATTCTTAGTCAATTTCCTTTAGAAGAAAAAGAGAGTAAATTATACAAAAAAAGAAGAGCCTCTAATATTAAGTAGCTGAAAACAGTAGGATTTAAGGCAGTATAATAATGTTTTCCTAATTGGCTGACACCAAAAAGGGCAATCGGGGCCTAATAATTCAGCCAAACCCAACCTACAAAAGAGGGAGTTTGTTTTTCTGCTCTTTCTACAATATCAAATTATTTAAGAGAGTGCAAAATGTCTCTTTCAAATTCAAAAAAAATTCTGATATTACGTTTTAATTTGTTTTTCTTATTTTCTTTTGTTCTTTTTAAAAAAAGTCTATTTCTTTTTCGACCACACAATTTATTCAAAAGTTGTATAAATTTTCTTGAACTTTATTTCAAGCAGTTGTATATATCTTTTTTCTGTTTACTCGCTTCTGAATCAAGACATCATACATGCATCTTGGCAACTTTATATATGAAATTAAAGCTAATTAAGATGTTCATGTAAGAACATTTGGTGCGGAGATGGAATTTTAATTAATTTCTGATAGATGTCGTGTTGTTATTAAAGGATTTTTCGCGAAAAGTCAAATATTTCCAAACGAGTCGATTTCCGATGGATTTTATTTTTGTTAAGAGTTCTTAATTTTCCCTACTACGTAATCGTCTAAAAAAACAGGCCACGTTTATCTTAGTATTACAAAAAAATATGATCTATATATGTCATGTTAGGTAAATGGCAAACTCTGACTTTCCAATAAATTGGGAAAACAATGTAACGCAGCTGATGGCCATGCAACGCTTTGGTAATTGGTACGTATAAATAATATTAAATACTACTCCCTCCGTCCACTTTTAATTGTTATGTTGCATTTTTCGAAAGTCGGTGCGTCGGCTACGAGGATTTGTAAGAGAATTGATTTGATATAGAGTAATGAGAGACGACGCATTAGTTGAAGGAGAGAGAAATGAGAAACATAGAGGGATCTTTCTTGAGAAATTTCATTCTTGGAGAAGAAGACGTCGTTCTTTCATTTGTGAGACCTAAAAATTGTGATTTTTTTCTGATTTGGAGGAAAAGAAAGATTTATGATTTATGAATTGTTTTTTTTTTCTCAATAAAAATTGGAGGGAGAGTTAAAAATGTTGGATGAAATATACTTTCTTTGTCCACTTTTATTTGTCATGTTACGTTTTTCGAAAGTCAATTTGACTACTTTTCAAAGTTAAATTAGATTACATTAATTCGATATTTTAAACAAAAATTTGGATATTCAAAAACTATACGAAAAGTACTATAAATTTAATTTTTTTTGCATATCAATATAATGAAAAAATACTTTGTAAAATGTTAGTCAAAGTTATTATTATTTGACTCTAAAAAAGAAAATCATGACAATTAAAAGTGGACGGAGGTAGTAGTACTTTGTCCTCTCAATTTATGCAGTACTCTACTAAATAACTTAAATGTGGAAACATGAAAAAAGTTGAAATGAAGTGCGATTTCATTTAGTAATGAATGAATTGTATTAGGTTAGTCTTCAAAGGAAAAAAATAGAAATGTTTTCGTAGATTTGTTAAAATCTACTAAACATCAAATGGATAGATTGAATTGAAATTAGAGAGATTAAAATATGATGAATGAAAGATCAGGTTGGGTTATGATAATTCAAATTTATTTTGAACTAAATTGAATTAAAATTCAAGTTGAATCATGATTCGATTATTTTGACCAGCTTAATCTAAATAATTTTGATATGTAATAATTTATTTAATAAAAAAAAAGAGACTAAATTCACCGAAAGAAAATAAAAAATATAAGAGACCTTAAATCCAACTCAAAATTCGAGTCGTAGGTATTGATCCGATCTTGGCTTGGCACCAAAGATCAGACCTGATTCGTGACCTGAAATCCGATCCTTCAGAATATATATATATATATATATATATATATATATATATGAAATTGAGAGTTAAACGAAACTATGTTAATAATTATTTTTGCCAATTATAAATTATCTAGAAACCAACTCATAATAATTTGAGTGAGTTGGACGGGTCCTATGCTTTTGGGCTCAATTGATATCTCTAATATGTATTGTCAAATTTCTTTATAATGATATTATTTTATTAATTACTAAAACTTGCGTTACAATTATTTGTACATACACTAGCATTAGTACTTAATTTTAATTATTTACTATTTTCTTCCTTTTCCGTCTTTGGTAGTGTATGTATAGTGTACTATGTACTGGGGTTGGGAATTGTACGGTAGTATCGAGTTATTAAATTAAATTATAATTTTTGATAATTGTGATTTAGCATAATACATAAATGTGTCTTTAACTTGACTTTATTTTACATTTATGCCTCCAATTTTGGGTTTGCAAAAGTAGACACTTTAACTTATATAAAGTTGAACAAGTAGACACATGACTCTTACATTGCATATTACACATTAAACACCACGCAGGATAAAAATTGTCATGTAGGATGCCTCATAGAATGTGTATGTGTATTTGTTCAACTTTATACAAGTTTAAGTGTCTACTTGTACACATCCAAAGTTGGAAGGTATATATGTGAAAACTTAATAATATTGAACTAATAAAATCATAATTTAAAAAAATTGAAAACAAAATTATTTAATCAAAATTTTAAATACCATACCATACTGTATCATATCATGTTGATCCACCCTAGTACGTAGGTTATGGGTACCTTCTAATTCTACATGCTTATAAGATACTTTGCTCAAAGGTCAATGCTAACATTGATTATGTTTCTGCATTCGTTTTGAAGAGAATAAAATAGAAAAGAAATAGAAATTCAATATTTCATCATGCTAAAGTGATAAATAGTCCTTCATTTTTAATCAAAAATTTTGAATTTATACTATTATTACCAAATTGTTTGGATAGGAAGTGTATACCCCAAAAAATAAAACTCTAATTTTCAATGTGAATCCTAATTAATCAGACCGCTTGATCTACTTATCGATTTAATTTGATTTTTTTTAACGAAAGAACCCAACATGTGGTCCAAACTTGTGAGGTACGTATACGTTAAGCGTCTTTTGTCATTACCTAAAAATCTAAATTAGCTAATCATTAACTACAGAAACCGAACGTGTATTTAAGTCACTTAAAAAAAAATTACGAAATAAAGATCGATCTTTCTTAAAACATAATATTTCCATTTTCACATTTTTCGAATAAATTGAACTTTTGGTCCATTTAAAAATATAATTAAGTAAAAAAAAAACTTCATGTAACAACTTGATTAATCTTTTAATTTAGATTAGATGTTTGCGCATTTCAACATGCAATTAATAATAACAAAGCAAAGAACGGTCCTGAATTTGAGCCTTAACGTTATACTTATTATTAAAAATTAATCAAACCTACCCCTAAAGGGATGTATTGATTGTTGGGTTTAAAAAAAAAAAACTAAATAAAGAAAAATAAAATTTGAATTAAGTTCATTCGATAGAAAGGGGAATACTTTTGAAATAAGTGAATTGTTAGGATTTTTATATTTCTAAATGACTATTCACCATAATAGAGACTAATTAATGCAGTCGAATATGTTGGACGATAGAATATATTCATTGCACTTATTAATCTTGATAACGCCGTGCACTATTAGAATTTAGAAGTACAAAAACAATTTGCTTTCCATTCAGTATTTAATTAACTAAATCAATAAGATGTGATCTTATATAACATTTTATCACTTAAATATATTATATTGATATATACTATCATTTCAATCTATTACTTATTTTAATATGCTTTCCTGTACATACATAACAAACAAGTGCAAGTATTTTTCGGGTATATTGCATTCATCAAAATAGCTTTGTTCCTTTTTTGAAATTTGCAACGAATCGATATTTAAGAAGTAAAGCTTTTCAATTGCGTGAAAATATTTTTTTATGATCTCTAACTCTTTTACATCAAC